AGTGGTCCTCCCTTGGAAATGGATGTCTTTAAAGAATCACCACAGTAGCTGCTTTCACCTCGCTTAGGTGGCTAACCAGAAATGGGACAGGACCTCTCTGCAGACTGTAAGCAGCACTTACTTCTCCCGCTGACTGTACGAGATACTGGAAGAAGACGCGTGTACCATAAGTTCGAAGCACAGGGACAAGCAGGATAGCTCCACTACTTGTTTTCGGTAAGTGCTGAGCCACTGACCCACCCTATGGGGGCTACAGACCATGTGACCATCAAGCACCTCTGAAAATTGGACTTTCAGTATTTTGGAATGGACTCATGAAAACAGGCAGATAAATGACAATTTATGAAAATCTAAGTCTTACTTGCAGGGAACAAAGAAGTTTGAAAATGACATGACATTAAAATCACTCTTTGGGAGATAATATTTAATCTACTGATGAAAAGCTGTGGTGATCATTTCTTTCTTACTTGCTAAGCTCTAGCAATATTTAGAAATTAATCCCACTACATCATCCAAACACTGTTTATGCAGGGCTGACTATGAGCCTTGTTTTCCTTTTGGTGGGAAGTTTTCAGATTAGGTTTCTGTTTCAGCCATTGCTCAGCAAACTAAACCCTATTTTCCATGATGAAGTACCTGCAGGTTAAACTTCTGGGATGACTGGAACTCTTTCACTTCAAGACTAAATTCAATGCTTCCTCTTGGTCTGCGAAGCTTTTTTTTTTTTCCCTATAATTTCATGACTGGGAACATTTATGCTTTTAATAACTTTTTCTTGTTGACTGTGTTAGGACAGTTCCAAATTAACCATACTAGGGAATTAAATCCTCTTTTTTCCCCAAAGCACAAGCCTACGAAGGATGGTAAACACTGTCACTTCACTTACAGATCTGAAAGCTGACTATTTACCGCCTGTGCCTTTTCAATTCCAGCCCAGTCTAACAGGACTGTGTGTCCCATTAAAGCCACAGCACAGCTATGAACTGGAAATCCTAGTACAGCGGATAGAACCTGTCAGTGGAGGGTACAGGGCGTGACATAGCTCTGCAAACACAGTGCATAATGATCGTGGACTTGCAGAGCTTTCCAAGTGGGAACTGAGACAACAAAGCCAACATCCCCTCCTCTTCCTTGAGTTTGCAGCTCAAGCTGTAAGAAGTTAGAAATCTATCCATCATTCCCCTGCACCAGAAAGGCTAGTCTCCACCTTAGCATGCTTTCTATAGAATAAAAAGCTCTTTGAGAAGAGACACCAACAGTTCAAAGAGTGCAACTACTGTTATATTAGCTATTTATAAACAGGCACAAAGTTCCGGCCCCAGCAAACTGAGTGAAGGCAACGCACTAACCTTCAATCCTTACTTACATCTTGGGAATCCCAGGACACATCAGACGCTGCAGACTACTTAGCCTGTCTGCCCAGTAAAGTTCAACTGGCTGCAGAAGTTTCAGCTCTTGCTTTTGAGGCCTTACAGAAAAGACCTATGGAATCAATAGGGCCTTCCCATTGCTTTCATTGTGTGCAGGATCAGCCCACTGCAGAGAAGTTCCTGGGTACCAGAACTCTGAGCTCCGGACTGTTGGAGCTACGGAGCTCACAGGGCTTGTTCTGCCCATCTACTCTGCCTTTATTTTTCTTAACACAGCACATGGGCTAGCCTAAAACTCCTTTTCTGGAAACACGCACATCTCTATCTTAACTTGGCTTACCAGATTTAATTTTGTATGTTTTCTACCTCATTGACTTGTGGAATAATTTTGCATTTTTCAGGATAAAAAAGATGGATAGGACCTTACATTTTTTGTGTTGTCAAAAGATACTGTTTGTATTCTCAGCCAGATACACTACAACCTTGAGACAGGGTATACTGCTTGATGTGGTCAATGAAGTTAACTGAGTCGTTTCAGTTGCCGCTGCAGTTTTTGGCTTTGAATAGACCAGAGAAACGGACAACATCTGTCAGACACTGGGTGGCACAATTAAATTTGTGTATGCTACTATTCTTCTTAGGCAACACAACTGAAGGTGGAACCCTGAAATCTGTTAAATTTGAGCTATTTTTTACGCAATAGCTGATTCTGGCAGTGTCCTTGGAGGCTGCTTAATTTAGGTTTCACTACACAGGCATATTGATGTTACAGCCTTGGTTAAAGTTTAAGAGCTTGCTCACCCATGATGGGACGTAGCTCTCAGGACGCACTGCACACCCTGCTTAGGGCAGCCCAGCTACTGGCAGCAGGTGGAGGACCAGTTTCTGACTCCTGCACTTCTCGCCACTTCACAGCCAGGAGTTTATTGGAGAGTGCTGCAAGTGGGAAATTGGTGCCTACACACTTCTTGGCTTTTGGTCCTTCACAGGTGTGGCAAGTCACTAGGTGACCACACCAATCCCCAACTCTGGATGGACTTTCTGTCAGTGTAGTTTATATTCTGGCAGCTATACGATGATTCCTGTAATGTTGAGCAAAATTAGAAAAGTGAATGAGGTTCTGATGTTTTTGCTGATGCAGTCATATTTGGACTACATATACTGACTACTACTGTACTAGCAGTAAACATATGTTGCCTTGATTCCCCGTTAATACAAAGGATAATATTTCTTTTTATCTCTCCTTAGTTCATTGTGAACATGTAGCTCCAAAATATACCACAATTCGAACTATTTGTTTACACTGTTTCTCAAACCGTAAGGGAAGTGCTGCTGCTTTTCCTTAAATGGGATGTAATGCTTGTAGTTTCGTTGCACTAGAACACAAAATTGTGCCTCTCTGTGGGCCACCAATTCTTTGAAAGTAATTGTATAGATTCTTCGGTACTTAGGAAGAAATTGCTGATGATTATTCAATGAGATTTACCTGCCCTTCAAAAAAAGGCCGTGCAAGTGTAAGATACCGCAGAGTGCTGATCTTATTATGCTATTGACTGTATGTTCACTCGTTTTTACTAGCATATGTATTTTGATGGGACAAAATAAAGACCGCATTGACTCAGTATCTTTATATTACATTTTTAGCTGATTATTACCTTAATGCAAACTTTGATAATTTTCCTATCATAAAAACTTTGTTTTCCCAACAGCGGTGAAACTCAGCCAGCCAGCATAACAGTCAGCCTACTATAGGCAAGTTTAATAAATATTATGGACTTTATAAAGATTAATGTACATCTTTTAAAACAAACAGGAGTATCTTTAACTATCTGAACATTTTGATTAAAAGAAACCGCATTTATACAATGCTTAGCAGCATATGTAATGGCATATGAACATATATATGAACATATAAATATATAGTAGAGACTGACCTTCATTTTAAGATTTTGTGAAGCCTGTAGGAATTAGCCAATATAGAGATTAATAAAATGCTTCCTGAGAATATAGACAATCTGTCTGCTATGAGTGTCCTGGAAGCTACCTCAAAGGCTAGCTTGCCCTATTTTCCATACCACAAGTACGTATTTGTGGCTGCAGAAAATGTGCTTTTAAGCATGCAAGGTACTTAGTACCCAAGCATGCTTAGTATGTAAGTACATTACCAGGCATTCACACTGGCAGCCAACAGAATGTCCTTTAGGTAGCAGTATACTCAGAAGCCATACAGCATATAGATTACCTCATGCATGGAGCAACCCCAGAAACTGCTTTTCCATCACAGCATATATATACAGACAGAAGGTTGGAAATGAGCCAGACATTGTAAGAACTTCTAAGAGATTATGGTGCAATAAAGTTCAGCCTCTACGGTGCAGCCACCCACATGCACAGAAGTCAGGCTACGCACACTTCCAGTGTGTTACTGCCTTGCGTCAAGAAAAGCCTCCTCTAGCTCATGTTTGTTCCCACCTCCAATGGGACAGTTGAGTATCAGCTTGTTACTTGGAACGTCTCCGCATATGGTATCCCTAGGGCTGCCAAGGATGACTGAAAATACTGGAAGTGAACAATGGGAGAGACTCAATAATCATCTTCCCTACTCCTCAGACTCGACACAAGCAGGGCTGAGGCATGCAAAAGAACAGCATTTCAAACAGAAGGTCAGCTTCTGCCAGTTTGAGATTTGGTGCATAGCTAAGTTCTTTTCTTGTGCAAAACACATACAGCACAGACTACGCTGCTGTGAACCTTCCCTACGTCACAATTCTTCTGCCTCAGCCTTAACTAGGACCTGAACTTTTGTGCCACATGAAGTCTTAGCTCTCTTTGCTGCGATTACAAACACAAGTATCAATTAGATCAGCTGTGAAATGCCATGTAGCAAGAAGATCTTTCAGAACTACATCTGCAGGCTGATACTCACATGGAGTGTAATTCAGTTTGGAAATATTCAGCAAGAATGACTTTAAACATTGTCATTTACTAAGTAGAGACTTATGTTTTAAACGCTGTATTGGATGTTGTTTCACAGGATCGTATCACTGCATTGCGATTAATTTTTAAGAGGTTAGCAGGCCTGTGGGAAAGGTATGGTACTACAGAGTCCATAGACTGTCTGAAAACCATGTATATGATCCTACTGTCTGCCAGCCAATTGGAGGTGAAGCTATCAAGTTGCAGCCCAGCTCCACATGTAACTGGTCCCTAAGCACCACTCCTTCAGATACTCTTGTTTACAATCTCATGAGGAAATTTGGGAGCTGAAGGGCTGGAAATCTGGTAATCTCCTCAGGGCAGGGTGGGGAGATGTAAGAAGGAAAGGCACAGCAGGAGAGCTTGCAGAGCTTTGTTCTATGAACAGAGGACTTCACTCTCCAGGGCTGTCAGGTCCAGCAATTTCTGTATGAATTCTTTTGAAAATCAAGTTCACATGCCACCACATGACTTTCAAAAGGTATTTCTATGTTAAAAGTAGAAATAAAGGAAAAACCCATAGCTCCAAGTATCTTAAATTTTAAACTATGTGAATTTCCAGTTCATGTAAATGTTTTGGTCTGAAGTCTCTCAGCCCCCAAATTCGGGTAACCATATGACAGATGACAAATCTAGAAAAAACCCAAGCCTTACCTTCTTGTAGAGACTTCTCAGGTCTCTGTACTGCCACATACTATTGAGGACCTGAGATGCTGCTTTCACCACTTTTGGCGAATGCCTGTTACACACATATATTAAAAAGGGAGAAAGAGAGAAAGAAAGAGTGAGAAAGAGACTGTCAAGTACAAGACTCCATCCATCCCAATTTTCAAATGCATTGCTATGGATTTAAACCCACAACTAAAGCGTGTTTTAAATGTACCGTAAGATCTTTGGTTTCTATCTTGAAGACCAATGTATTTTTAAGCAAGGGTAATACAACTTATTTCTACAGTACAAATTACTCAATGAGGAGCAAAATGTGTGGTCCTCAGCACACTGAGAACAAGGATTCACGCTGAGAGCATAATAAGAACCATGGGAGTGGCAGCAATTGGCAAAATTACTGAGGACCCAACTGGTATTACGTACACCTAAAAAGATGTCCTGGCTACAACTTTCGGCATAAAGGACAAGAGTTTCCTTCTCTATAAGCTGCCAAACTTCAACTCGAGACAGCGTGCTCAATGCATGCAGCGCCTCTTAGCAGTGGCCAAAAGAAACACTCAAGACGGGTGATGAGTGCCGTTTCTGAAGTGCAGAGCCAAGACACAGAAATACAGCTGATTATAAGAAGTCATGACAAATTTCATTAGGAATCCAAACTAGGACTTGCGTCTTGCTCGCACCCCTACCCTTTAATGATTGCAATATTATGTCATGTTGAAAACCATATATAACTTCACATGGACTTTCTCTTCAGAAAGGTTTTGAAAGAAGCTCTAAACTATTGCTACAATCAGTTGGAATTATATATTCCTCTTGGGATAGGTAACTTAAAAAAAAATGTAAAAAAAAAAATTAAAAATGAGAGAATATTGAGCTCAATCAATAAGGGTCAAATAAAAAATGACGGCCAAAGTCTGGAGTAAGGATTGCTGGAGTTCAGGGCAGTATCTGAGGTGATTCCTGTTTCACTCAGAAAAGGCATATGGATTGCAAAACCAAAGAGAAACGAGAAAACCAGCAGCATATGTTACTGGCTTGGGCAGGAAGTCTTCTCAGGGGTCAGGCTGTGGGGCATCCTGTGACCTGTAAGAGGGATCCCTGGTAGGCTGACACTCAAGCAATGTTCATGACACAAACGATACAATTTACTTACACAGTATTTTCCTAGTAATTTATCTGGTGCCTTTTTTTTCCTTTTCCTCCATTACTCACCCAGAGTACAGCAGGAGGTGGGTAACTGGTGAATAAACAGGAATTTGATAAACCCTTTCAAACATAGTTTTCTTTATTATACTCCCAGCTGTACTGGCTAGTGGGGTGCTGGTAGCATGGAGTAACCAGAAAAATAACTGTACCAACCATACTGAGGACAAACAGGAACTATGCGAAGCCAGTATGGGCTTGGCCAGTATGGCCTTATGACCAAACATCAGCTCTCTTGTGCTGTCGTACAGGGAAAGTGCTCAAGCCCTGGGCATGTTCCAAAGGCTGTCGGGGCCAGCCCCACACTCCTGGCACTGACACATACCAGGATGCATGGCCAGGCTAGCATCCTGCATTTGTAGAAGCAGACATTTCATACTGGACAAGATAAATTAATATTGAAGTGTTCTATTGTATTAAAGTGAGCCTGCCAGAATTTCCTATCAGTCCAACAACCAGCAGTTCTGATTTTTAAACAATGGATTACCTATAAGAAACCAAACCAAAGCAACGGTGCACAATACTAACATTTCTGAAAGTTGAAAAATGAAACTTTCATTTAAGATAAGCTTTTGTAGCACTGTGAATTGACAGGTTTTCTTGTTCTAGGACTCTGTAACCTGTAACAGCAATAACAGGATCATAATTTA